AAATTAATTTGTAATTTATAAACTAACGGTAGGACCAGAAAATTTAAGGGTATAGACCGCGCGAAATGCGCAACACCATGGATCCCGTTTTGTGGCGCATTTGATGAGCTCACCAGTCTCATGAGCTTGTTATTTGATATGCTCCCTTTTGATGCTGAGGGCTGCGATACGCTTGTGGTAAACAAGAAGCATGCTGAGAGTTGGCCTATAGGTAGAACCAAGACATCCATCAAGACTTAGTATGCTACTGTTGAAAGGGTTAAGAAGAGCTCAACAGGAAACCCCAACATGCCTGAGTACATGAAGATGGCACGCCTGGCCTATATCTTGATTGGGAAAAAGGCAAAGCTTGGTTCTGGAGAGGAGGACTTTGATATGAAGAAAGGCTTTGTTGTTAAGAGTGAGGCTGTGGAGGGTTTAGAGGACGAGGAGCCCCCAGTGCTGTCTTCAGCAGGGGCAACAACAAGTAAAGGAGGAGTATCAAACAGTCATCGTGGTGCTGGTGCAGGTCCAGGGGCTTCAATTCCTGTCCCTCCTGTGTCTCTTTTCTGGAGATAGTTTGCTTTTGTAGTAAATTTGCTGCTCAATGGCGTTCAACTGGATGTACCAATACATCATAATGACCGCCACGACAACTCCTTGTCCTCCCATTATTCTTGTGGCGATGTTTCTTGCTAGGAGGAAACTGTTGTCTAATAGTGTGTTTAGTAGTAATAGTTTGTTGGCTCGCTAGTGCAAGGAAGAAATATATTTTATATTTTTGATACTATGAGAGTATCGAAAATATAAAATATGCTTGTTCCTTTTACTACTACTATCGATACAAAATTTCATGTTTTTTAAAACCAAATGGGGTGCATTTTTTAAGTCTTTTTTAGTCTTTACCTTGGAATACCCGGTACTGTAGTTAAGATTCCAATTCCCAAAAAGACTGGCATCGAGCCATGGTTACTAGTAGAAGTACAATGCAAGTGCTTAAGTAACGTTAAGTATTCTCAAGTAGAATTTTGGATTAAGCCTTGCGCGCCAGCTCGCCGTTATTTTTCCATCACATAACAGCGTTACGTACGATAACCAGGTACCGGTACGCTACATCACAGTCGGAAGGCACGATTACGAGTATTTCATCGTAGAAGTACTACGTAAAGTACGTACTTGTATTCGTTAACTTCACATACAGGTCATCAAAATTTTCCCGTCATTACTGTAGTGTATTCTTTTCGAAAAAGAGATAATGCGAAGAGTCCAGGGCTCCGTGGTTCAAACTGTGAATAGACTGAATAACTGGTACTCTACTTTCATCATCGAATGATGAACTGAGCCGAAGGGTTGAGCCACACTAGTGCGATGTTCCAGTAAGAAGACGGAAAAAAGTAATCAAAATGGAGAAATCGAACGAATTGGAAAGACAAAGCAGTATATTTCGAGCAAGATCGAAACAGATATCAGAAGCTGTCGGTCGTTCTCCTCTATCAGAAATATCGGATCCTCGGCGCTTGGAGTCTATTCCCACATCAGATTGCCTTTTGTCACCAAGGAGTAACTATAAGTATGATGAGAACAATAAGCAGAAGTTTGAAGTAATGAACGTCAAGATTGTCATTTATGCATTAAATGGCCTTATGTGTGAACATCGRCCGGCGAAGAAGTCGAAATTCGGAAAGAAGGAAACAACATCGAGGCTAAAAAGTGATACCAAATTGTCATCATCGGATATAGCCATGAGGCCGAACAATATGCAAAAACTAGACTTGACTACTGCTGTTGTTTCGTGCCAAAGGAATGGAATCAGTGATCAGGTCTGTTCCGAGACATATTTGGCCAGTATGCCTCTAGGGGATCCGATTGCTACCAGCCTAAACAGAGTTCGGTATGCAGCTCTGTGGYCATCAAAACAGTCAGCCTTGCATAAAGAAGATGGGGCGATAGAACGATCAGCTTTTCAAATCATTCGATGTATGAAACAAGCTGCATTTACACCGGGAATAGGGGCGGGGTCGAACTATTGCCACGAGACATTGGAGATTGGAATCAATGTAAGCAGAGGGCWAGAGCGTATTCATCTAGGCACCGCATTGATTGTAATTGATGGTGAAGAAGAAGGTGAGGTGATTATGAATGTACCAGCCACGCCAATACTGTTGAATAGCAAAAAGGTGAAGAAAAGGAAAAATAAATACGGATACTTTTCAAATGATCCATCCCGAAGATTCTTTTTGGACAAAACCTCGGTGCTGAGAATCGGGGTACAAGTCATTCCAGAAGACGCAATGCGATTTGCTCGTGAAAAAGAGGAGAAGCGAATACAAAAAGAAAGTGAACTGAACGAGTTGCTCGGAGATGGTGATTTCATGGCAGGCTTACTCCTCAAGATGGGCGATGATGATATTCAAAGAGAAGGAAAAAGTATGAGTAACTGCCCAGTCAATCCAGCAAAGATRACAACRGGTATAATGCCAGATTGCAAAGCTCAGTCAAATTCGATTCTCCCTAATCTTTTGTGTGGTAGTATACCCATCTCGTGGGTACCAAACTTTCTKAAGGGACCCGACACTGAACCAGATGTTCCAAAAGAAATTAGAACTGATAACAATATTGATCAATTCACAATACACTCATTAATGAGTTCAGTTTCTGAGTCAACTAATGGCTCGGACCGCATTTTTGAAGGTGAGTAAGGCATTGCGAAGCGCAAAACACTTGTACCTCTCTAAAATCGTCGCATTAACGTCAAATTAAATTCCGCTGACTGATTGACTTGAATATTTCGAATCATAGAAGTTGCCGGAGAATTGTAGAACTAGCGATAGAAACCAGATTGATGGTATTGTAAAGGGTGAAAATAAGTTATCTTACTCCAGTTACTTTTACATTTGTAGAGCAGAGCTGTCACCWAAGACTCGAACACATTCTTACATCTTCTACGCWAACTAKCAAAACGTAGCACCATCAAAGATTTATTAGATAAAKTTTTCTTCCTRATGCAATTCATGAATTCAATTCAGATTACGATGCTAGTTGASCTGAATAAGTTGCTGATTCATATCGTCTAAGTTATAAGATTAATGATTGGTAGTATTCTATGTGGGCGTCCCTTACTGTTGAYCATTGAAGAAAACTTATGTTTTCGTCTCTATGTTTGCCTGGCACCTGTTGATGCGTTGATATACACTWACGAAGACCAACATTTTTTCATGYCCTTAGAAAGTTCTTATTCTCGACGTGATTGATAATAATCCCATCAGTKTCGTCTGCTATGGCTGACGTCTTCCATTATTTCTGTGCCTTGCTGAGCTCCCAGGGTGACGWTTGCTCGCGTAGTTCCAACTACTGTCAAATGTCCGCAATTCATCGTTGAAAATATCGACTGCGCTCTCAAGCATCTGACTCGATTCGACCGAGGAACTTCCAGGGAAAGACCTGTCATGACGATTCTTTGATWGAGACATTTCRCCCCCACAGCATACAGGAGAGCAKGTCCAAGATGCTTCGCAGCCAGTATCACTAACACTTGAAAGTACTGACACAACCTCATTCGAGGGATCAATCGAAATGAAAGGCATTGGAACACGGTGATTTTGACGCCGTCTGCGGCGATATGATGTGCCCGAGCATGTACGCATCGAATTGTCAATTCTCTGTTCAACCTGTGATTTTTKATCAAAGAGGAGTTGAGATCGCAGCTTCTCGTGTCCCAGTTTTGGACTTATTGGTGTCGAAAAGTTGAAACCACATGCGGGTGGAGAGCAATACAGTGACGGAGTCCCTGCAGCAAAAGTCCATTTYGTTAYAATGGAAGATTCGTCGCTACCCCAGACTTCTGCTCCATCTTGCCCAGGGTACCCTAATTTGATGTCTGTTTTAACACGCAATACTGCAGATGAAGCAAGTTTATATGCCAAATCTCCGTCTTTAAATGTACTCCAATGTTTCTTCCCAAATAAACCTCTCTTTAGCTTTTGTTCGCCTGAAGTATTAGGCACTGGCAAGACATCTAGGTCCATCTTCTGCTCTACTCTTTCTCTTCCATGTACAACAAGMTTTCCTATGCCTAGAGGAATGCGCTCATCGCCACATTTTAAGCCAATGAGTAGCGTTACCACTTCTGGCACGAACGGAGCCTGCGATGCGATTAARTCATCGCCCTTATCGTCACGYGCCTCCTCTCTTTTGAGCTGAAGAGAGAAATGTAATCTCCTCCTTGATCTTGATTTTGATATATCTTCTTTCTCCTGTTCGTTTGACCAGAATATTTTTGTCGTTTCTATTTTATCTTCCACGTTTGTCAGAAGTGGCTTGCTAAGAGCTGTGTATTTTCCAGAACTTGCAAGTTCTACGAATCCAACCGTAATTCGATTGTTGGTCGGCTGTTTTGTRCGTTTATGAATTTGTTTCACTTTGAGTCCTGTCATATACCCGATCGAAAGACGAATATGAAACGATGTACCCGATTTCTGATCACCTCTTYTCCCACTTAAAGACGTAGTTGAGATTGAATTAATTTGAGCATGATTTTTTTCCATTCCCTCCTGTTTCCTATCTTGCGATGATGAAAGGTGTTGTTGCATCATTGAGTCGATTCCGTCTCTCTGATTTCCGGTTGATTTTAGGACATCATATGACTGGCATATTTCATGCGGAGATGATGGAGTCATCATGTCTGCGTAGAATTTATACGTTTTTGTTTTGCTTCCAGCATCATTCCGACATTTTCCAGARGACTCGGTAGGTCTGTTCATCAACGGCTTAGAAAGYGCACGCGATCYTCTTTTATCCACCATTGCTGTTTTCTTTTCCAAATTGATGTTAATGTCCACTTGGTAGAAAACGTTTCCGCCCTATGGAAACCAAAAGAAGCTACTAATAGTTGATGTCAATGAACTTGTTCGTTAGTGTGCTGAAAACTAGAACATGTATCGATACTGCTATTCARTTAGAATGCTGGTGCTGTTCTAACGATATAATCATCAGATCTGAGCTTTGCCTACTCCATTTACATCTGATAGAGCGAGCTGCATGCTCTGAAAAAGTGATCAAGCAATGTTTTACGTTGATCCGTTGCGGAAAGAAATGTGATCAGAGTTCTATCTATCACATATTTTCGATACTCGCTAACACATTAAATAATGAAAAGAGCGCGACCAAAATAAT